AATTTTGAGATTGTTTTCATTGAAAACCACAACAACTTAGGCTAGAAAAGAAAAGTAAATAATTTCCACGTTTAGATTTTTTTGTAAATGTTTACCAAATAACTTTTGGGGGAAATGTGTACCTATTGAAAAGCAGAGCTAGTCGTGTGCGATTAGAGTACGAAATAGTTTTAACTCCTCCGAAATAAAAAGGCGTCAAAATTAAAATTGATGAACTGCTTTTTTACAGGGCTGGCTGCTTTTTCCTATTCAAATGTGTGTTGTTATCGGGCGAGCCTTTTCCACGAGTGCCGTTTAGCTGCTGCATCTGCTTCGGTGCGCTGCTCCTATATACTGTTCTCTCCTCTATGCGGGGTTGAAATTCCGAGCGACACTCGACGAGCGCAGCAGCAGCTAAACCAGTGCGCGGGTTTTGAAGGTCGGGATGTGCCTTGCCCCCGCCAGCCCTTCGCCCCTTCCACCCTCCAATCGCCAACCGGATACACAGTGTCCAATCCATCCAGACAATGAGAGACCTCCCTCCCCCCTCCCATCTCCTCCCCTCTCCCCTCCGCCTGTGTAGTAATACATACTTAATTGAACAACAGTCGCCGCTGCTGCCCCGCTCTGGGCTGGGCAGCACTCGCGGAGGAAGAGAGGAAAAAAGAGGGCGGGGTTGTCGTTCCAAAGCGGAGAGGAGAAGGAAAGGAGGGGGTAAGGGGGAGGGGGATTTAGAGAATATAAATTAGTGCATGTCGAGATGGTTTGATGATAAAGAATTCACGCATATCCATGATAGGAATCCGGCGAGGTGGTAGTAATTCAGCGACTAATATACGTCATCACCGTCGATTTGTATACACGCTCATTTCGTATACTCAGCCCGGTGTGTGGCGTTGAAATTATTTAAAAGTGGAAAACTTTGTGGTCAAGAGCATATACTCTACCACCCACATTGAAGAAATAAAGTGAGGTAAGATGAAAAGCATGTTTGTGCTTTTGCAAAGGCGTTAAAAGTTGTGACTTCTGGGGAGGCATTAAAACCACCCTACGGACTACGGTTCCTTGTATAATGTTTGTGCCCTTCTAAAGCCATTAAAATGTAACACCCCTTTAAAAAGAATTTTTTTCTGTTTGAAAAAAAAGGAATTTCTTTTTT